CCTATGGATTTGAATTATGGGTGTTTAAAAAAAAAAGATAACTTGGCCAAAAAAAGTGTAGGCCCGGGCCTACAGTGCTACATACTGGCTATGCCCCTGGCTGCTGCTACTACTACAACTGCCACTGCTGCTGCTGCTGCTACATCTGCTGCTGCTGCTACTACTACAACTGCCACTGCTGTTGATGCTGCTACATCTGCTGCTGCTGCTGCTGCTACTACTACAACTGCTGCTGCTGTTGATGCTGTTGCTGCTACATCTGCTGCTGCTGCTGCTGCTACATCTGCTGCTGCTGCTGCTGCTACATCTGCTGCTGCTGCTACTACTACAACTGCCACTGCTGTTGATGCTGCTTGCTGCTGAATGATGTATAGTACACTCTCCCAACAGCACCTACCAAACTCGTCGAAACCGTTGAAACCTCGCTGGTGTTTGTCCAAATCCAGCTTCATGCACACCATGCCTTTAGGACACTGGTAGCCACTGCCGTTGATCGAACAGTGCGTGTCCGGAATGGCGAGGTCATTAATCGATACATCCCTGCAACAAGAGAAACACAGCAGCTATAAACACACCACATCGACCTTGGATTAACCGTCTAACAACAGGAATCATAATTACCGTATTTACTCGTGTATAAGTCGCATTCGTGTATAAATCGCAACCCCATATTTTGCCTTGAAAACTTCTTACAAACATTGGTACATAACAAGAATTCTTAGCCTCGTGTATAAGGTCGCACCCCTGATTTTTTTATTGAAGTTGTGTACAAAAAAGTGTGACTTATACACGCGTAAATACGGTAATCGATACATCCCTGCCACAAGACAAACACAACAGCTATAAACAAACCACACCGACCCTGGATTACCGATCTAGCAACTGTAATCGTAACGACGGCGTAACGACAGGAGTCGTAATTAGAGCCCGCATGCGAGGGGTAGCACGATCGTGCCCGCTTGCGCGCGCCGCGACTTACGATTCGTTCGTCTCTGGCGTGACGCAGTGGTAGGAGAGAGCTCCGAAGAACTGCACTCCAAGGATGCCGTACAGCGACATGAAGAAGAGGAAGAAAAGCGTCACATTGTAGATCTGCTGACTCGAGCGCCTGTGGACAAAGCAGGAGAGCCGACATGAGACACGAGGCCAACACTAGCAGAAGCAGGAGCGGAAGGCGACCAACCGAGCGACACGAAGGGAGTTCACAAACGACCTGTGTTGTCTCCCAGGAGACTGAAGGGGGTCTCTACTACTACCTACTTGAAGATTGTGTTGAGTCGGTTGGGGGGAGCTGGAACTTACTGAACCTACTTGAACCTACTAGCTGGCACCTACTTGAAGATGGTTTTCAGAGTTTCTTCTGAGGGAAAATTAGATAAAGGAGGTAATGGCCAGTTTGGGGACAAAACGCGCATGAATTCAAAAGCTTGCTGTAGGCACGCATGCGGACCCTGCAGGCGAACTGGCTGAAACTACAGGAACATTTTCGCAATGGCGATGTTAAATTTGACAATGGTGGTGCGCCACTGTGCCTCTTATGAATAAGAAACCCTGGTCTTGAGGCGATTGGTGGGCAGCTGGAACTTACTGAACCTACTTGAACATACAAGCTACTACTTACTTGAACCTACAAGCTACTACTTACTTGAACCTACAAGCTACTACCTACTTGAACCTACAAGCTACTACTTACTTGAACCTACAAGCTACTACCTACTTGAACCTACAAGCTACTACCTACTTGAACCTACAAGCTACTACTTACTTGAAGATGGTCTTGAGTCGGTTGGCCGGCAGCTGGAACTTGAGGAACATGCGGCCGATGCGGATCATGATGAGCGGTCGCGGCGTGCGCAGGATTGACAGGAACGTCGTGCGCATCGTCACGATCATCGCCTGCTCGTCCCGCACCGCCATCTCCACCACCTGCAGCACACGTCACCGACTGTCACAGCAGACGTCACCGACTGTCACAGCAGACGTCACCGACTGTCACAGCAGACGTCATCGACTGTCACAGCAGACGTCACCGACTGTCACAGCACACGTCACCGACTGTCACAGCACACATCACCGACTGTCACAGCACACGTCACCGACTGTCACAGCAGATGTCACCGACTGTCACGGCACACGTCACCAACTGTCATGGCACACGTCACCGACTGTCACGGCAGATGTCACTGACTGCCACAGCACACGTCCCCGACTGTCACGGCACACGTCACTGACTGTCACAGCACACGTCACTGACTGTCACGGCACACGTCACCGACTGTCACGGCAGATGTCACCGACTGTCACAGGAGATTATAACAGTTACTATAAATAATTAACATTAATTAAAAAACATAATTTTTCTTACCTGGAGAATGACTGATACCCAAATGAAGAAAGTCATACTGAAGTCAAATCTGCCCCAACGTGACTTCAGGTACGGGGTTTCTGCCTAAACATCGCACAAACATTGTAAACGGAAAACTGTTTCATCACACAGAAATCACTGCAATGAGAAAGAATTCAACTGCAGCCCAGACACAAGATTTCGCATGTATTTGCCTTAGTTAGGAACGTGGGTATCGTGCTGCTAGTTAAAATCTATGTAATACTTATGTGAAACTACACGCAAGATGCTTTCGTAAATGCGCTCGCAATCTTTGCTCTCAGTTGAGAGTAGCTTCAGAAGAATAAATTAATTGAATAAATTTAAAAAGAATAACACAGCTGAATATTAATTTTTCAATAGTTGCAAAAATTTAATCAGCATTCATTGACAATTCCTAAGCCACAATGCAGAAAGTACATAGCCTACTGTATTTTTTGGTAAAACAGAAAAAAAATACTAAACAATAAATGATCTCTAAAAATCCACACAAAAATCGAAAATACAAGCTACAAAACAGCTATATGAAGCATAATGCCGAAAAAATCTACGAGAAATAAAAAATTAAATAATAAGCATAAAGTCAACGTAAACTATGATGAGATGAATGCAATACTATGCAGCGAGAAACTTTTAAATAAATGCTCTAATGTTTTTTTTCCTACCTGTACACGATATATCACTTTACACTCACCTACTGTGCTTATGGACAACACTGGAGTACGCACTACGTGCTTAAAATAAAGTGCAACTAATGCTAGCCGCACACTATACGACCCGAGCGTGATCGGGAGGCTTAAGTTTGGCTCGGGAGGTCATTTTGGGCCGATTCGAATTTTGAATCGGGAGCGTATAGTGTGCGAAGGCTTACGACGCGAATCGGACAGTGTGCGTGGCCATCCGACCCGCCGCCGAGCGCTGAAGAAAATTGACCAATCACAGAGCAGCGCCATGGGAACCGCATTCGGTAAAAATGGCGGGAAAA